CTGTTGACAAAAAATGCACTAACACAGCAGGCATGGGAAAAAAAATTAGTCCCTGTCATTTGTTTTGCAAGCTGAAGAATAAAGTATTTCATGAACCAGAACTGTATTATTTTCCTGTTAATTCTAATGATGCATTTACTGAGCTGGTCTTATAGGCCAGTACTAATAAGCATAAATTTGTAAGTTTCCTCTGAGTCACATTTATTGCTTAGTTATATGGGTATGCATGAAGACTTTGTGCTTGATCATTTTGATAATGAAAATTTTATAATTTTATTGCAGATTGGCTCAAAGGATTGTACGGGGAGATGTTCCTGAACCATTGTTGAATCGAAAGGTATGAATTTAAACTAAGAAGTTTTACATTTGAAATAGATAGAGACATTTTGAATGTGCCTAGACACTTTAGAGGCAAATTTAAAAAATGATAAAGATATAGTAGTAGGAAGAAACTTAACAGGCAGTTCTTGGAGTGTACAGCGCCTATATTTGTATCAGCTATTTACGGACTTCACTGATGAGCCTATTTCAATTAAAGTAGTACTTTTCTAATTGGAATAGGTTCAATGGTTAATGTTCATTTAAAAATGGTATTATTCCTTGTTTTCTTCAGTTGATCTCCCTAGACATGGGTTCCTTGCTGGCTGGTGCCAAGTTTCGTGGAGATTTTGAGGAAAGGTTGAAAGCCGTGCTGAAGGAGGTTACTGCTTCAAATGGGCAGATTATTTTATTCATTGATGAGATTCACACCGTTGTGGGTGCAGGTTTGTACCTAGCTTTTGTTTGCATAAAATATGTAATTTTGTAGTTGAAAATTTACCACAGTTTTCCTTTCAGAATTCATGTGTGCTTCCTGGAGTGTAAGTGTGTAACTAATATAATGTAGATAAGTGCTCTAGTAAAACTTAGTAACTTAGCCTCTTGATAGGTTTTATGTTGATTTGAGCAAGGTTTGGTTTGTAATGCATTGAACTACGTGTTGAAGATAGTTATGTCTAAATTGTTTAGGGGCTACAAGTGGTGCAATGGATGCTGGGAATTTGTTAAAGCCAATGCTTGGGAGGGGTGAGCTGCGATGTATAGGAGCAACTACATTGAATGAGTACAGGAAATACATTGAGAAGGATCCTGCACTTGAGCGTAGATTTCAACAAGTCTTTTGTGGCCAACCATCCGTTGAAGATACAATATCTATACTTCGAGGTTTGCGTGAGCGCTATGAGCTGCATCATGGTGTTAAAATATCTGACAGTGCTCTTGTTTCGGCAGCAGTTCTTGCAGACCGCTATATAACAGAACGTTTTCTGCCTGACAAAGGTAAGGCAATGGGTGAAAGGGGAAATTCATAACTGTTACAATAATAGATTTTATGTTAATTATTTATTAGCCTTAAAAGTTTTGAGTAAATATGCTTTGTAACAGCTGTAATTTAACTTCTTTTCAGCCATTGACCTTGTCGATGAAGCTGCCGCAAAGCTTAAGATGGAGATCACTTCCAAGCCCACAGAGTTGGATGAGATAGACAGAGCGGTTCTGAAGTTGGAGATGGAGAAGCTATCCCTTAAAAACGACACTGATAAAGCATCCAAAGAAAGGTTAAGCAAGCTGGAAAGTGATTTGAGCTCACTCAAACAGAAACAGAAAGAATTAACTGAACAGTGGGATCATGAGAAGGCTCTCATGACTCGAATTCGATCAATAAAAGAAGAGGTAATTTTCACTTGATGTCGTTGTTGCACTGTTAAATAATCTGCATATTTCTTAATCTTCTGATTCATCTTGTTGATGTTTATAGATTGATAGAGTTAATCAAGAAATGGAAGCTGCTGAGCGTGAGTATGACCTAAACCGTGCTGCTGAGCTCAAATATGGAACTTTGATGTCCCTTCAACGCCAGTTAGAAGAGGCTGAAAAGAATCTTGCTGAGTTCCAAAAGTCTGGGAAATCCTTGCTGCGTGAAGAGGTTTCTGATCTTGATATTGCTGAAATTGTTAGTAAATGGACTGGCATACCGTTATCAAACCTCCAACAGTCAGAAAGGGACAAACTAGTCTTGCTGGAAAAGGAACTTCATAAGAGAGTAGTTGGTCAAGATATTGCCGTAAAATCAGTGGCTGATGCTATCCGACGCTCAAGGGCAGGATTGTCTGACCCAAATCGACCAATAGCTAGTTTCATGTTCATGGGCCCTACTGGTGTTGGCAAAACTGAGCTTGCAAAGGCTTTAGCTGGTTTCCTCTTTAATACAGAGAATGCTCTTGTCAGGATTGATATGAGTGAGTACATGGAAAAGCATGCGGTCTCACGCTTGGTTGGGGCCCCGCCAGGCTATGTTGGTTATGAAGAGGGTGGACAACTCACTGAAGTTGTTCGTCGAAGGCCCTATTCTGTAGTTCTCTTTGATGAAATTGAGAAAGCTCATCATGACGTATTCAATATTTTGTTACAGTTGTTGGACGATGGAAGGATAACTGATTCACAAGGAAGGACTGTTAGTTTTACAAATTGTGTAGTAATAATGACTTCAAATATTGGTTCTCACTACATTCTGGAGACTCTTCAGAGTACACATGGTGGCAAGGATGCTGTTTATGATGTGATGAAAAAACAGGTTGTTGAGTTGGCCAGACAGACTTTCCGCCCAGAATTCATGAACCGGATTGATGAGTATATAGTTTTCCAGCCTCTTGACGCCAAAGAAATCAGTAAAATAGTTGAGATACAGGTGATCAATCTTCGTAGAATACCCTTTCTGGGTGTTTGGTATTTTTCTTTTCCTAATGTTTTCTTAGTGAGGAATCTGCTAAGGGTAAAATATTAGTAGTTGATTTGATAGAGGGTAAAATATTAGTAGTTAACTTGATGTAGTACTAGTGGAAGTCTTGGAATAGGAAATTGATTCAATATTCTTATTGATTGAACACTAGAGAAGATCTTTATTTTAGGGTCTGAAATTGATTCTATATTTTGTTGACTGAACATTGGATAATATCTTTATTTCTAGGGTGTGGGCATCTCTCTCAGAGAGAGCATATGAGGTACATTGCACAGTAGTTATCCCTGCAGGAGGATTTTTATGCATCATGTTTTAGCATGAATCATAAGTTTTGTACATAATCATCTTCAGGTCAAGTTGCCTAGCCTTCTTGGAGGCTTGGTTTTAGCTCTTAACTTATCTCTGTAGAAATCGGTTAGTGCAAAAAGTCTTTCTCCCCCTAATTAAGAGAGAGAGAGTAATATCAATGTGCTGTTGTAAGTTATTAAGATAGATACTCTTATCAATTAAGAGATTTGCATAAGAAGATTCATGGTAGCTTTTAATCTCATGAGAATCTGAGTTACAATTATTCTATGTTTACCAGATGATGCGGTTAAAAGAGAGACTCAGACAGAAGAAAATTGATTTGCACTACACGAAAGAAGCTGTTGAACTTCTGGGGACACTGGGCTTTGACCCTAACTTTGGAGCAAGGCCAGTTAAGAGGGTGATACAGCAACTGGTAGAGAATGAAGTTGCAATGGGAGTCTTGAGAGGAGATTTCAAGGAGGAAGACTCGATCATCATCGACGCCGACACCTCCCCATCAGCAAAGGACCTGCCTCACCAAGATAGACTATGCATTAAGAAATTGGAGAGCAATTCTCCAATAGATGTCATGGTTGCAAATGACTGAAGTGTTGCCTTTTGCAGGTGTAAATACAAGGAATAAAGAACTTCACTTCAGTCATCTCCAGGTTTCGGTTGATGCAATGAGTTAGACATTTTGTTTGAACTGCTTACCTACCCGAGTTTTAAACCTTCGCTGGCAGGTTTTTCCTTCCTCCCATGTCAATTATGTAAAGGAGCATGTCCGTGTAAATGCACCATGCACAACATGAATCAGGCAGTCAACTGAAAGAATTGTCTGTTCCCTAACTTATTATATTAACTTACATCCGCCAATCCATCGAAATCCTGTTGACTCTGTTTACCCCCAAGGAGTGGGTCCCTTCTAAAGGGTAATTTAAAAAGTGGAGCCCGCAGGAGGCTTCTTTGATGAGCCTTGGAGATGAGCTGGGCGGCACAGATAAGAGGACAGCAACGAGAGGGTATGGCCCGTTGGTACCATCGTCATACGCTATCAGTTGTCCTCTGCACGTTTCCCCATGTACAAAAAAGAAAGAAGCATGCCTTCTTTCCCATGCTACGAAAACCAAAATATGGCTTCTTTGACAAGCCTCTCTCCCCCCAACTTCTTTTCCTTTATCGTTTTCCTTAAAATGGGTTTTTTTTTTATTTATTGATAAAAATATAAGGACCAGTTTTTCAAGGATGTGTTTGGTTGATCAATATAATGCTTTTTTTATAAAACAAGTAAAAACGTATTTTAAAATCTTCATTCTTTTTGTTTTTGTTATACAAAGGAAAAATTGATTCAACAGAAAGGTAGTTCATTCAATGTCACGAGCTCGATTAAAATATTATTATTTATAAATTCAAGATTTGTCACATTTTTCGTGGATGTATAAAGTTATGATATTTTATGTATAAAAGCGAGAAATTTACCCTGATTTGGATCGTGTTGAGCAAATTTAGATATTATTTATCAAAAATTTATATTTTTAAATAAAAATAATTACTAAATATTAAAAAGTCATGATTATTAAATGAAAAAATTTTATTTATAAGTTAAAAATTTATTTTATTTTTTATTGATGTGAAATTTTAATAAATATATTATTTAAATAATTATGATATTTTAATTAAATAAAAAATCTCATTTAATTTTTTGATAATTTTACGTTACATATTTATTCTTATACTATCTATTAAATTAAAAAAATTAAATATAAAAATCTTAAATCTTAAGAATAAAAATAATACTAATACAAAAATTTTACAGAACGTTTTTTTTTTTACTTTTAATTTTAATTCTCTCTCTTCTCTCTAACAATTTTCTTTCTGACAGGCCGATGTAGATATAAATAAACAAACGAAAAGAAGTTAAACTTCATTCACTCAACGCATCTCTCTCTCTCTGCCTCTGCCCACTCTATCTTTGAGCTCTGAACCCATAAATAATCAACAAAAAAAAAATAGTGAATAAATTATTAGTTCAGTAAGCTCAATAAAACAGAGAGAAATGGGTTTGGAGCTCGTGTTCTTCTCTTCCTCTTCTCCCAAAGCTACATTCTGTTTCCTTTTGCAAATGTAAATTTTGATTTTTTGTCATACAAGGATGGCCAAATGCCACAGAAACGACATCGGATCCATATTCCTCGACCGGCCTTCCACTGCCACGGCCGCCGGTAATCACTTCCGACTATGGACAGCCTTCTCTGGTGCTGCATTCCGAAGAAAAATCTTCGATGCAGTGAGCTGCGGGGCCAGCTCTCGCCACCGCCACCAGCTCATGCAAGAGGTGCTCAACGACACCGTCCATCGTCAGCCTCCTCCTCCAGCCACCACAATAAAGTCCGTCTTAAAAGAGTCCAACGAACCGAAAAAACCAGACAGGGTGGTGAAAAGACCCAACAACAATGGCAAGTCAGAGAAGCTGGCGGATCTCTTGAACTTAGCGGAAGCGGAAACTGATGCTGAGACTAAGAAGAAAGTGGAAGCTTTGGAGGAGTTGAAGCGCGTGGTTAAGGAATTGCAAGTGGAAGAAGAAGGAAAGAAGACCAAAGCTGCAAGTAGAGTGAGGCTGCTTACCAAAGAAGACTCGGAAGCCAGAGTGACTTTAGCGATGCTCGGGACGATTCCGCCGTTGGTTGCGATGCTTGATTTTGAAGACTCTGATTCGCAGATCGCTGCTCTCTATGCTTTGCTTAATCTAGGAATTGGAAATGACGCGTGAGTTTCCTGAATTTACTCCCCTTTTTCTGCTAAGTATAGAGTCTTTTTCTTATGTAAAATTATTGTTGTTGCTCTGTTTTGTTGCTCCATTATGTTTTTTTTTCCCCATTGAGGTTTTTCTTACCAACGTTGGGTTTTGTTTGTTGTAAGAGAAAATAAAAATGTCTGAAATGATTGAAGGGAAATTGCTTGGACAAGTCGTTTTCTGTGTTTTCAGGTCCTGTTGTTTTCTTCAAACAGTTCTTGATATGTAGAATAATGCATTTAATTTGTCGTTCATCCAGTTCATTTTCCTGTTCACCTTCATCTTTTTGACTGACATTTTCTGGCCATAGCTTTGTTTGTTACGATGAAATTTCTTATTTTTGGTCGCTTAACATTTAATTTCTTTAACTCTTTGTGAAACCCTTTTGCAGGAACAAAGCAGCCATTGTAAAAGCAGGGGCTGTGCATAAGATGCTAAAGCTTATTGAAGCCCCAAATGCTCCAAGCCAGGCAGTTTCAGATGCCATAGTAGCAAATTTCCTGGGCTTGAGCGCCTTGGATTCGAATAAGCCTATCATTGGATCTTCTGGGGCTATTTCTTTCTTGGTAAAAGCCCTCAAGATTTTGGACAAAAGTAGTTCTCAACCAAGACAGGATGCTCTTCGAGCTCTTTATAATCTATCGATCTCCCCATCGAACATTTCCTTCATTCTAGAAGCTGATTTGATACCCTTTCTGCTGAATGCCTTGGGAGACATGGAAGTTAGTGAGAGAATTCTTTCAATTTTGAGCAATCTAGTATCAACTCCGGAAGGTAGAAAAGGCATTAGCATTGCCCCAGAAGCATTCCCAATTTTGGTTGATGTGTTGAATTGGACCGACTCGCCAGGGTGCCAGGAAAAGGCATCATACATTTTGATGGTAATGGCACATAAAGCGTATGGAGACAGACAGGCCATGATTGAAGCTGGCATCGTATCATCATTGCTTGAACTAACGCTTTTGGGTAGTACATTGGCTCAGAAGAGAGCTTCTAGAATTCTGGAGGTCCTGAGGGTGGACAAAGGGAAACGAGTTTCAGAGAACTTTGGTGGGAACATGAGTGCAGCGGTGTCTGCTCCTATTTGTGGGTCTTCATCCTCTTCAACAAATCCAAATGGAAAGGAGTGCTTGGTGGAAGAAGAAGGAATGATGAGCGAGGAGAAGAAAGCTGTTAAACAATTGGTCCAACAGAGTTTGCAGAACAACATGAGGAGAATTGTCAATAGGGCCAATTTGCCACAAGATTTTGTTCCATCAGAACATTTCAAGTCCCTCACATCGAGCTCAACTTCAAAGAGCTTACCCTTTTGACCCAAAAATGGATTGCACCCTCTGCCATTTGCATGCATGGAGAATGAGGAGGAGAGAGTCTGTAGTTAGTCTTCTTTTCCAGTCTCATATGTGCTTTTTGATTTTTGTAGCTTCTGTCAATGTATGATATACCCATTGTCAATATTCCATCATTGTCCTATCATAAGCTTTTGTAGCAACTGTTTCTTCATTTGGTGTATAACTGAGCACCCCCATTCGGCCTCTGTTCTTTTGGCTCACATCAAAAACTTCAAACCCATCCTCCTCTGAACTGCTTTGGTATGAAAATGTACTACTAAACTTAAAAAAGAA